TAACCCCCAGGGACCGACCCCACTAATCAACTCACACAAACATTTTCACCAGTTTACAGATACTTTTCAATTATACAAAATATTTTTTGGGGAAATTAAGATAAATCTTTTGTATCATACCTATTTATTTAAATCACTTCTTGATCAGTATAGTGCGTGTTAATCAAATTGACCTTTTTCATGTTATATTTATTCGCAAAGTTTATAATAAGACAATCAATTGTATACAGTAAATTATAGCGTATTAAAATGTGTTAATCAAATTGACCTTTTTCATGTTATATTTATTCGCAAAGTTTATAATAAGACAATCAATTGTATACAGTAAATTATAGCGTATTAAAATATTGGTTAGTGGTTAGTGTACTAACCAAACCTTTTTTTAACAGCTGTTTAGCAAATCATCTGTTCGCATGATGTGCCAACTATAAGTTTCTTATTGGTTCAGTTCAGTTTTGCCATTGTTGCCTTTGTTTGCGTAGTTGCTCGTCGAACGGAACTTTACAATGTATTTTCATGTTTCTACGCGTAGTGTTCATGTGTGTGCGTGTCCTTGTATGTGTTAGTGTCTCTATCATGTAGTAGTAAATGTTTTATTATTCATTTACATAAAATGGATCTTTCACTGCAGTATTGTGGTAAGTAAATTTTCAATTACTTTACTTATCTTTTACGCCAACCCAACTTTTTGCAGAAACATAAAAAGCTATTTAGTCTATGCAATAGTCCTACTTTGAATTTTTATTACAGTATGTGATAATCCCCTAGTTACCTCATATTTCGATTACTGGTTGATAGTTTTATTATTCATATAGCGTATTCTATAGAAGAAAGATAACAACTAAACCCACAATACTTTTAAGTGCTTTGTTTTACGTAGTAATCTAGCCTTGATGAAACCGTTGGTAGGACTTGTGTAATTCATTATTAAAAGATACTAATAAATTAAAGCCACCTATATAAAAGACACCTCAGAAAATCACGAGACAAATCAACATTCGGTTACAGTAGGTTTGCTGTGGTGGGGGTATTTATTTTTCTATATGTAGGCCTATCTGGGTCCACTACCGTAACGTGGGCACCAAACCATTCACATTATTATGAAGCTTACTAATTATATAGTGATTAGCAAGGTTGAAGCCATACAGTATAGAGTTTTAGCGTTCTAACCACTAATCCACTAACCATCAATTATTGCCAAGACACTAACTAAATAAAAGCAGTGTCTATGATAAGTAATATCCGTACAACTTTGGGGCAACCATCAAATACGTGCATAATATATTATGTTTGACCTATTCTTCTATACCACATGGAAATATAGCTTAAATTGATCATGGGATAACTAATGTTACTTTTTGGTGAGTTGCTCTCAATGTTGATGAAGGGCTGTCTGTTTCTGTCGGCGAATCTGTTGTCCCAGACTGTGGGCGAAGAGAAGCATTTGTTGATAAACAGACTTCTCATCACTTTGGCGTTGGGGAATTGAACCTAAAAACGAGAGAAAATGTACTAGTAACTGTGCAACACACATTGGGTTGTAGGGTTGTAAATGTTTAATACACCTTTTATACTGTTAGATAATTTTACCATTGAAATAAAATTGGACCTCGAATCCTTCAATGTAACAAATTTCACTTCTTTGTAATTAAAATATTTTCTAGACAAGATACAAGATAATTTGAGGTGACATAAATACACCTAAAATGTTTTACTCGATAACTTTGTTTTAAATAATGATAACTTAGACTTGCCACTTCATAGATTAACATGTAAAGCCACTATTTGAGTTTAGATATTAACCTTCTCCTATTTTAGGACAATCATTACCGTGGGCATTTTCCTCGTTCCAATGGACAAGAAATATTTTAAAATTATACAATTCAAATAGTTGAAAATATTTTTAAATCGTTGAAACAAAGAGGGATGAATATGAAAAAAAAAAAACATAAAAGTTCTCTACAAATACAGAATACAGGATTAAAACATACATAAAATTTAATCTACAGTGCAATATTACTCCACAGGTATGACACAACTATTAGTAATGATTTTTTATTTTGTAATTACTTACTGTAGCATCCTGCCAAACTTGTAAGATTGAGACCATGTTAAAGTAGAAACATGGGTCGACCCAGCCTTCATGAGTAATTTTCGGTAGACCTTAAAAACCCAACAAATACATTTAATTTACGAGTTTTAATTTCAAAGTGGACCTAATCCTAAATGCATTTTTAACCAAGTCGAGTATAATCAGGGGTATCTGATGTCACAGTAGGAGTAGATAACAAAATAAAATAACTAAAAAATTAAAGAATGTTTGAGATACAAACGTAACAGAAACTGAATAAATAAAAAAAAAATACAATTTCATACGATTATTTATTAATACACACAATCTCCCTACACACACAGCTAAATATAGAGGCCGGGAACACACTCACCTTACGAATTAAAGGTTTGTATATTTTTTATCTTGATACAAATATTATTTTTAAGATGCTTAAGTTTGTTTAGGGTATTAGCATTCAAAATCAAGTCTACAATTTTAGCACTTTATTTGTTTACGTTTCTTTTATGTAAGGCTTCTTTTATGAAAGAAATCGAATGTCATATTTTATTTACTCATGTGATACATTCATGTATTCTATGGTGATTATTCATACCATCGATTCTAAAAACTATACACAAAAGTCATAACATAACATCGTCCTGTAATCCAGCTACTAGGAGGTTACGAATTGTGGATATTTATAGGCATACACTGTGGATGCGATACTCCCTGGTGTGGATTAACGTCGGCACGAGTGAGTACTACGACTATCCGCAGTACTATCCTGAAAATTAGACCAATTCGTATATACCAAGGGAAAAATCTGGTTCGGATTCCAATATAAACTGTAGGTCCCTTACTTAGTTGCCATTAGCTGTATGGGCTTTTAATTAACAGCTGTGTCTATGGTCTAAGGAATAAGTCGGCCTTAGTCACTAACAAGACTAAAAGATCGCGCCACTCATCATACACTCGTCCCCATTCATACTTGGCTTAAAATACCTACTTAGTATGGGTTGCCATTTCATTGAAAATTATTAAAATTAAAAAGTAGTGAAGTGTCACCTTGTTGTCTAAAGTAGCTTTCAAGGGAGTACTGAATTTCATTATAAGTTCAGACCCCCTTTGCGTAAAGGGATACCACTAAATAAATAGCATTTAATGATAAATAAATAAAACGACAAAAGAGTAGGTATTACAAAAAATGGAGTACTAATATCAACTTAAAACTAACCACAACAAATTTGTCTTACTCAATACATCCTCAGATGGTGTTTCCTCAGGTATCACATATTTCCGTTTCCTTCTGAAAACCCGACGTCCTCTCCTGCCCTGCCCGGCGGACACAATTACACAAAACAACAGCAACACAAACAACCTCAACTGTACAGTCGAGTTCATGACAATCTGATAAACTCATTATCAGGAAATAGCATCTAATCTTGGTTCATACTTGTTTATTCTACTTCTACTTGTGACTTACTGGTGTATACACTGTACACCTTAATTTTATTTTTTTTTTGTTAGGAGTTTTACTCATTCGCTAAGTTAGGTCTATGTGGTATGAGCTTTGGATAAAAATCATCATAGGTTTCCTGCAAATAAAAGTATTACCTACCTTGTATTAGTGAAAATTACATATTTCAATAATGCCATAGCCTAAATAACATATTTCATCACCAGGGGTTAAGGTGGCCCTTTCCGACAACTTGCGAAAAAAGTAAATAAGTAAAAAGCAATAAAGGACTCTGATTTGGCAGTGACCATTTTTTAACTAGTCCGGTTAAAAATCGGCGCAGTGCGAAAGCTTCAGACCCACGATCATTATTTGTGCGGCAGTTTTTTTCCCGGCCAGGTGAAATCGAGTAGTGCGAAGAAACATGGGCATAAAAAGAAATTTTTACTTGTGAGGTGAACTATAATTTTCAAGCACTATTAACAGCTATCTAGAACCGTACTCGCCGTGCAAATCGTGCAAATCTAATCCTTTAGCTTATATTCTCATTCAGGTAAAATTATAATATTTATTAGTTTTTTTGCTGATAATTAACTTTTTTGAACTTCTTGGGCTTTTGGGGTGTAAAATTATTTCCCGTAAAACTCTGCTGTGCAGTTATACATCCCAAACACGAGTTGCGTTTATTTCCCAAACAGGTTTTGCAACCTCGGTGCTTTATTGCTGTATTCTGAATATAATTTATTAAATTAAGTAAAGAATATACAGTTCATTCTTTTGTTTATTTTCTAGATCTAAACATATAAAAAATATGCACTTCTATAGTGTAAGGTTAACAGAGGCTAGCATCGTATTGTATTTAAAACAGGAGTAAACATTGTTTTAAATTTCAATATTATTAGAAATGACAACAACTTTGACTACAACTTTGACTTTAGAATGGAATTTGTGCATTGTCATTGCCTTTGACGATTCATATAAACTTCCAGAATTGCAAACAATCGTAACGTTATATGCAATTGCATTTTAAATGTTGGTCAACGGGATTGCGGAGCAAATAACTTGTCGTCATTTTTTTGCATTATTTAAATGGCTGTCAGCTGGCTAGACGACCAAGTGACATGTCGGACAACTCTTTTCTTTGTCTTAGGACGCTACACACAAGGCCGGGATTGTTTTTTTTACATTACTTCAGGCTAGACTTAGGGGTTGCGGCATTATTACTTAGATAAAATCCATTGGTGACTTGGCGGGATTTGAACCCGGGACCTCGAGGACCCAAGTCCCGCGCTCTAACCGCTATACCAGCTCGCTCCCCCATGTCGGACAACTGGTAACACCCAGATATCACAGGTGTTACCTCGACTTGACCCGGCGAGTATGTCGACGTACTCTACCATTCATCTGTGGGTCGTGCCGCGGCGCATGCTCGGCCCCCACACCCACACCCTAGACTCTCCCCACCCACGTCAGTCAGTACGTGGCTAGCTGCGCGGGTGAACGTGTGTGCGCGTGCGGGTGTCATGTGCTGGATGCGGGATGGCCTCCACCACACCGCCGACGGAGAAACGGAATAAATACGGTAAACAGGCGATTCTGGAGGTTAGATGTAAGGGAAGAGGGCTGAAATAGTGTGTTGATATGTAGGGGTTGCTGTCATGAGAAAATGTATGTGATTTGTGTACATTGCAGACTCTGGTTGTTTCTAACTCGGGAATACGTTTTCTGTGGTTTAAACGCTAATGTCACGTATCTACCATATAACGTTGAACTTCTGTTAGAAAGCATCATTAACTGATAGCCCAATGACAAATGGCACTGAGGTCAGAATTGAACCCGCTTCGTATCGAGCTAACCACCTTCAGATTTGATAGAGAAGGCTACCCAGTCAATTTTTATACATGTGTACAGTGTTCATGCCGGTCTGTCAAGTTTGATTTTGGCATGTAAAAAGGGGTGTAGTTGTCTGATATACATGAACTGACTGGTATATCACCGGTATACACCGGTTGAACTCGTATAAATTTCTATTTAATTCCTGTTTCCCGATGTGTGTTTACGTTTTAATTACCATTTTAATAATGACTTTGCTTATTTGTTGTACATGCCTCCAATAAATATTTCCGTTTTATACTAGAACTGAATGGAAATCTGTTGATATTGAACATTGCAGTTTTATAATAACAGGGTTAATGTAAACATTCTAAAATAATGACGTCGTTGATTTGTTATTTATTTAATTTTTCCAATAGGCCTACATTATAATGAATTGTAATATTTTAAGTGCTATTAATTCAACATTCTTATAAATAAATGAAAAAAATCGCTTTCATCAATCATTTATATCATATAAATTCTGTACATATATAAAAATTGGACGAATAATGTTTTTTGGCATCTGGGGGACATCAAAATGAAAAAGTAAATCGGTCCCGGGCCTAGGTCTTACCGTGCCACCTACGGTAATAGCTACTTTAGGGAAATTTGCTAAAACCATTAAATCTCATTGATAGTTCTATGAATATTAATTAATTACTAATTTTGATTCGTTTCTTCAAACGTACCACAATCGATCTGAAAACATTGTTCTTCTAATTGGGAAATGCTGTTGAATTTTACAGTTTCAAAGCATGTTCATAGAAAAATTCAACCCGAACGTAATCTGTTCATAGAATGTAGGTAATTTAGGGGGTAATTAATAATAAACAATGGATAGGATCAATAACTAATGGATAATGGATATTGCTAAAGTAATTTACGTACCAACGCAAATGTAATCCAAGTAGAAACAGGTTAATTGACAAACAATATGGAATTGATATTACATTGATGAGTAAATCATACTTTCATTTGGACGTATCGGCAAATAATACTTGGCAAATTAATTTACTGCGGTTTTAATTACTGAACTGATCAATACAGATATTTAAACAGTTTAGTTGGTACGCGCTGATGTATCTTTATGTTGTTAAAATTGTTCTGCAAAAACACAAAACACGTTGGATCTTGGTCTTAAGAAACACACTTGACGTTAAATAAGCCACACGCGAGATTTAAATGCCCCTGGGGAAATCTCGGATGGGATAAATACTTCCCGGAGATCCTTTGCTAATGGTGAGTGAAGAAAAATGCTTAACCACAGTGAGAAAAGCTGTACACTTTGTACAAACTTTATATTCTTTTTTTTCAAAAATTTTGAAATTTTAGTGACTTGTAGTGAATTTGCCAGATATAGGGTTGATATTATGTTGAACCAAAAACATACCTTTTTAAGTTCCCTGAAGCAGGAAACCTAAGGACTCGTTTAACCTAATGTTACTTGGTTAAGGAATGAGTCCGACATAAATTTAAGGAGTTCTTTAAGTGAAAATACAATCATGCAAATGGAAATTCGCTTAATCTGAAGGTTTCCTGTGGAGGGGGTATTAACACATAGGTGTAGATGAGTGGTGTCTATAATCAGATAATGTTAGATTGTATATGTATGGTCACGGTCTTGATCATTAGGATTTCCATAGATGATCCTGACTACAGAAACAGCTTATCTTCAGTATCAAAGATACACAGAACAATCACTGCATTCTACCATGGATAAAACACTCCCTTAGTATATGACATGACTCTACACTCACAGTCTTCGTAATTAAGTTAAAATATACACATAAAGTACTTAGCTGTCTTGGTTTCATTGAAAATCCAATAATCAATGAAAATAGAACCATTGACGTTGACTCAATAAAACATTAAAATAATTAGATCATTATTGTAAGCTTTAATTGCAAATTGACCTATGTAATATAACATTTAGTACGTATTCGAGAAGTATAATTGGTTGCTGGTATGGATTTAATTAATCACCCCACTTGAAAGTGTTGAATAAAACCTGGCGATCGTTTTGTTAATTATTCATGTTTAAAGCACAGTAATTAACCCGCAAAATGAGTTTCATCAGTAATTGCTGGTTATTACTTTCAATTGGCAGTTAAGAAAAACAGCAACATTTGTAGGCCTATAGTTGTGCTGAAATATAACGGATAGGTCTATTTACTAGTTTAACATTTTTGTTACATTATTAATACGTAATAATTAAGAGTTTTTTTATAACTAGAGGACTTTAGGCTTCTAGAACAAATTAAGTTTGTTTAGCGTCAACAAAGTAAAAACATTGACTTAACATTCCTGGATGGTTTAATAGTTAAAAGTAAAAGGCAGATAACCATAACTCATTTGGGAACTTTGGAAATATTTGACGGAAAATTGTTTTCTTTTATAGCTTGAATCCCCGTTTAAAAAACTCTTACTTACAAAACGAGTTCACATTTCACCTACAGTTTACAACAATGTGTATTAATGTATGCGTAAACGAGACCAACACTGGTTTATATTCCTTTGTCTTACACACTCACAGTTTCCGAACTAACATTTACATTCATTGCATAACGACAGAATAACGTTGTTCATAACGGTGTTAGTTGATATTCAGGCCATCGATTGAGTTATAATATACTAGCTGTAACCCACGGGCTTTGCCCCGTTTAACTTCTTAATTTTCAAGATTATCTCGTTTGCATGGCTCTATCACGTCCTGGTTGAAGTTTGTTCGCTACGCTCACTCACCTTTAGGTTGGAGCTCGTTCGCTGCGCTCACTTGCCTTCAGGTTAGCTCGTTCGCTACGCTAACTCGCCTCCAGGTTGAAGTTCGTTCGCTACGCCCACTCACCTTTTGTTGCAAATTAGCTGTTGTCATAAATGTAAAAGAAATAATAGTGCTGCACCCTGTTGGTAATCCTTGTAACTTTAATGCTATTGAACATCATAGAACAGAACCAACTTGTTTAATTGAAACAGCTGTTAAGATTCAATAATTCCATTTCTCATAAGGTTGACATGGGAAACTCCAGGGCCACTGGGGCGGAGCCCGAAAGGATTTTTGAAATAAGATTATGCCTATATGTTAATCGGGAATGTGAGCTATCATCATGCCAAATTTCAGCCCAATCCGACCAGTATTTTTTGCGTTCACTTGTCACAAACATACATCCATACATCCATACATCCATACATCCAAACTTTCTCATTTATAATATTAGTAGGATGTAGAATGTTCCAGAATTTAAGTAAACAGTTTGAGGTGTAGTATTACTAAAAAATGTTTCATACAGTTACATAAAAATTATATTAAGATGGCACATACATGCAAAACAGCTGATTGAGCTGTACAAATAGTTGAACTGTACAATAAATAGTACAGCAGATAGATTTGGACATTTCAATTTTACAATGAATATTCGATAGATTTAAAACGTTACCTATAATAAGTTTAAAATTATGTAAACATGTGTTAAATGGTGTATGTATAACGGTGTTGTGATTGAATAGGTGTGCTTCAATTATATGTTTTTTGGTGTTAGGTTAGTGAAAAATATAACGCACGGGACTCAAGCTAGAAGGTGATTTTCTCGCACGAAATCCGAACTATTATGCGTAAACACCTACTTCTCAGCCTTGTGACGTAATATACCATTACCATTTTATCATCCGGTGATTGACAGTCAGTCGCTGGTCGAGACTTTCCCGAGCTAGAATGCAAATGTCTCCTATAAAGTTTACGATTCCGGTAACAGTTTGTCGCCAAATCCGCTAACTGGTTCAGAGTTGACTACGGAGTGGGAAAGTGAAACACTTCGGTTTTTACCTTTACAAGATTGTTTGGAAAATTAGTGTTTTGGCAGATACAGTAATTGCATATCGTTAACTATACATAGTTTAAGACATTGATTTGTTAATTGGTGAGAGATCATTCATATTATTTTGAGAATGGTAATGCATACTAAACGCAGTTGTTTTTTATTTTTATCCTAAGTTCGTTAACTTAGGTATTTAGCCTATTAACGTTTTTTTAAGCAATAGTCCAAACCTTGTTCTAGTTACTATTTAACGTTACTATTTTTGGAATGCAGCCTCACTTCATTGTCAGAAACAGGACATGAATAACTAACTGTTTTGATACATTTCTAGTTTTTGCAATCAATTTTCAATCTTTGTGAAATACCATTGACTTGTAATATTTGTTGATAATTTAAACGCAGATTGTTGCAGTATTTTGTATTGCTAGTAAAAAATGTGTTCTTAAAAAAATTAAATAACTACCAATGGTATTGGTATTTGGGTATTTTGCTAATAGGCCTAGTGTTTCGGATTTCAGTGTGAGAGGGCGAGTTCAATACAATTAAAGCACAGACAATGTATTACAGTATTATATTGTCTGTGATTAAAGTGTTTACACAGCTTTTTATACATTATTCCACCGGTTTAAACAACAACAAATTGTTGAAAGGTAATTAATCGTTGTAGTTTGGTTAGTCATTGATCTTGTTTTGCCACATCTATGTAACATATTCCAGACAAAGGAAAACATAGCTTTAGCCATGCTAATTGAAGCCTAACAAGAAATAAAATACAGGTATAGATATCTTAGATTTCATTAATAGTTCTTGAGATAAACAAACAAACAAACAAACAAAAATGGTGGATATCTCGCTAACAAAAGCATGCCTGAAAAAAATTTTAGACTTGCTTTTC